GTGCCCTTAACACTGACTCAGATTTTCTAGGGGTGCATATAAAAAATGAAATAAATGAATGTGATAACACACTTGAACAAAATGCATCCTCTCACTGGTGTTATATTATGGGTTAAAAATGACACCATCAGTTCAGGTTCCTGTATCACTTTGACTCCTATTTAAACAACCATTGGACCATGAAGGAAAGATTTTTTCTATAACTTCTAGCTGATTTCCTGGGTTCATTTACTTTTAAATAAAAATTTTCTGTCTAGGTGCGATGATTATTTCTTACTCTTGTTATATGTCTAGATACTGATCTTTCTGAACTTAACTGCACCTTTTATCTAGTTGTTATTTCACTGACCAAAATCAACATTATCTAAGTATAATACTCAAAAAGAAAAAATATATTCCTTGTCTTCTCATATCATTCGTTCATTTTCAGTACAGAATTTTGAGAAAGTAGATGAACATGAATTAAGAATTTAGATTTCCAAAAAGAATACAAATGAACAAATACTTGCCCCAAAAAGACAAAATAATGCTGAACACTTGAAAACCAAACTGAATGACACACAAACTGTCATACAATTTTATATTAAATCATTATCCATGTTCTTAAGGTAATATGAACTATTTTATTTTAATCTTTATGGTATTTTTTCCTTTACAATTTCATTCCCTTATATCCTCTCCCCCAGCTATCATCACACTGTTGACCATGCCCATGAGTCCTTTTCCCTTGTCCCTCAATCCCTCCACCCCCTAATATCCCACCCACACTACTTGTCATCTGCTCTCCATCTATGAGACTGTCTCTGTCTTCCCTGTTAGTTCAGTTTGTTCCTTAGATTCCACATAGGAGTAATTTTTTATTCAATCACATAAGGGAGTGGGAAGATTTTAGAGTGTAACTAACAAAATATTACAATTCATTACAGTGTTAGTGTGTCAGACAAAGCTGATTTAACATGTTCCATATTTAAAATTATTTTAAAGATTCTCTTTTAGTAATATAAGTTCACTTTCAATATTTACTTTGTTTTGAGATAAAAAGTAATGCCATAGTGAAATAATAAAATGTTTTTTTAGTTGTTTATTTGTGTTTCAATGTCACTTAGTAGGAAAACAACTACTGGAATTCATTGGTGAATTACCAATTTGACTTCACAGTTTTTAAATAACATGAGTTGAAACCCAAATTTTCCATTTGATTCTGTAGTGAGCGGCATCAACCTTTGACCCTTGCCGTGGTCCTGGTTCTTGAACTGCAGCTGAGGTATTATACACTGAAAAGAAACAAATATGAGAGTAAAAGACAGAAAACTGTACTTGAACAACAATTAAAATAAGTTTTAAAAAAGAAAGAAATATGAAGACATAGGTCACTTTAACTGAGTCACAAATTTGTTCATTTGGTCAGAACACTATCAGTAGTAATGCTATAAATATCTTCAAGTTTTTTTGATGAGGTTTCGACATGAAGAATGTCACTGAAGTTACTACATTTGTACTGAAGGGCTTCACAGACAATCCTGATCTGCAAATTATCTTCTTCTTCCTATTTCTAGCAATTTACCTGTTCACTCTGATGGGAAATTTAGGGCTGATTGTATTGGTCATTGGGGATTTCAGGCTCCACAACCCCATGTACTATTTTTTGTCTGTGCTATCATCAGTGGATGCCGGCATTTCCTCAGTAATTACTCCAAATATGTTAGCAGATTTTCTGTCAAGGAATAATGTCATTTCACTTCTTGGATGTGCAACACAGATGTTTCTCGCAATTACTTTTGGGACCACGGACTGCTTCCTCTTGGCTGCAATGGCATATGATCGCTATGTGGCAATCTACAACCCTCTCCTGTATTCAGTCAGCATGTCACCCAGAGTCTATGTGCCACTCATCATTGCTTCCTATGTCAGTGGCATTTTGCATGCTTGTGTGCACACAGTGGCCACATTTAGGCTACCCTTCTGTGCCTCCAATGAAATCAGACATGTGTTTTGTGACATCCCTCCTCTCCTTGCTATTGCGTGTTCTGACACTCACACAAACCAGCTTCTACTCTTCTACTTGGTGGGCACCGTTGAGATGGTTACTATGCTGATTGTCCTGATTTCCTATGGTTTAATTCTGTTGGCCATTCTGAGGATGCATTCTGCTGAGGGTCGGAGAAAAGTCTTCTCTACGTGTGGTGCTCACCTAACAGCAGTGTCAGTTTTTCATGGAACCATCCTCTTCATGTATGTGAGACCAAGTTCCAGCTATGCTTTGGACCATGACATGATAGTGTCAACATTTTATACCATTGTGATTCCCATGCTGAATCCCGTCATCTACAGTCTGAGGAACAAAGATGTGAAGGCGGCAATGAAAAGAGTGTTTGGGAAAACGGTGTATGAATGAAGTACATTTTCTCTGTAACCATTAAATATAAATAAAATAAGAATGATATTTGGTGTCTTCTTCTCAAAAAATTATAATAAAATGTTTTGTTTTAGCATACTAGGGTCTTGTTATTCATCTTATACCTTTTCTTTTTAAGGTCACAGGGAAACTTCCACCTGTGCATTTTCTACACAAGCAGGAAAACTGTATCATTTATTTGTTTCTTACTTAATTCATTCTCAGAAACACAGCACACACACATATTTACATATACGCTGATAGTGACTGCATCAGTTTGTCAGGTCTGCCGTCACAAAGTACAATAGACTAGTTAGTGGTTTATACCACATAAATTTATTTCTCAGTGTTCTGTAATGTAGAAGTCCGAGATCAAGTTAAAGCAGGTTGATTTCTTCTGGGATTTTTCTCTTTGGTTCGTACACAGCCATCTTCCTCCTGTGTCTTCACCTGTTGTTTTCTGAGTGTCTGTGTCCTATTATCCTTTCTTATAAACATACTAGTCATATTGGATAAGGGACCACCCAAATACTGTATTCTAACTTAATAACCAGCTATTTTGAGTATTCAGAGATTAAGAAGCAATAAATTTAAGTATCCATATCTTATCATTCAAGTTTTGTACTCAGTTTATTTCATAATGGGGTTTAAATTAATAAAATATAATATCATCAGTCCATTTCTTAATATAATCATGTTTTATGATTGTGAAAACATGAATTACCTTTATCACTCAGTTTTATATTGTATTGGATCTTTGAGAGAGATATTTTCTAAAGCGGTGTTTTTTTATCGTTAGTAACCTTCTCTGACTTTTATAGCTAAAAATGCTATTGTAGTTAGACTGACTTAATAAGAAATATATATTCTGATATTTATTTAGAAATACATATTTTAGAATTTAGTTCAATATTATTGTTAACCCCAATTCATGTACATTTTGTGAGATGAAGTAAAGACTTGTATTCACAGCCCCCTTTTTTTCAATAATATTGCTCTAACAGAGATAATGGTGGTTGTTTATACAAATGTCTTTATAAGTATTGAAAGAACAAAACCAGTCCTGTAGAGAAGCTTGGAATAGAAGGTCACAACTGGGGGTATAATTTATAGGAGGATCTCAAGCTCCATAAAGTAATAGCTCTATTTGTAAGAGGGATAGAAAAATATTTATGCCATAATTGAAATACAGAGAAAAAAAGAAAGGAGAGGCAAGAAGGAGGAGTGAGAGAGAGAGGAGCCAGCACAATGGTTCCTCTGTAAGGCTGGGGAACATGGACAGGTGACTGGGAAATTCAGCAGTTCAGTTTCTCTGAGCAGGAGGCCTGATGCTATACCATAACCTCTACCTGGCCTCCTTCCACTGTATCTGCAGTGAGTTTCCTTCATTTTCAAATGATTTCTGAGAAAGGACTTTTTTGTTTTCAGGGAGGTGGTAGTGGAACCTGCCCTTTGGAAAGCAGCCATGATCTATGTGAATCAGGACAACTGGACACCTGGTATGAAGTCCTGCAGACTTCCAGTGAGAAAGCATCAGTGCTCCAACCAAATTCATCCAGAGCTTAAGGGGCCAGAAAATCTCCATGGAAAACCTTAAAGTTTCTCAGTTTTACTTTTGAATTAGAAAAGGTTGTGAACTGGTTCAAATTTTATCATCTTGACTTGCATGTTGCACCCACTCTCTTTACTAAATGTTAGTAAAGTGTTGCATGTACAGAGATAGGGCAGGTATTGAGGGTCGACATTGGGGGCAGTGGTGGAGGTGATGGGTGCCCTTAAGAATTGGTGTCACTTCGAGGACAACTTTTTTTTATTTAATAACATTTCATTCCAAAAGACAGTAATAAAAATGCTATAAGAAGTGCTTATTGTTATGATTGCATAAAGAAGTCAACACAACAGTGTTTAGTGTAAGAGTATAATTTAGAAAGAGTGAGTATATGTTACTTTTGGATAAATAGCAATACTTGGCACTTTTGTGTATATCCACCAAATGAAGAGATAAAATGAAAGGCTTAAAAAGGTAAAATCCCCTTTTACATATTTTTTATTTGTTTAGCCGCATGTCCTGTTTCTTGTTTTCATGTCTACTGAAGCATTTTTGTTCAGTTTTTATTTGTTCTAAAGGTTCATTTTTTCTCTGTGATACAAATTTCTTTTAAGCTCAAGACAAAAATGGTTGCAAACCATTGAGAAATTGAAGGAAAATGCTACAAAACAATAAAACTTTTAATAGCTGAACAAAAGATATCTGTGGCAGGAAAGATGGTCTCACTCCACCACTTTCCAAGAAGTGACCATGTGCACCTTCACCATGAGCTTTCAGGCTTGCTCTTCCTCGTTTAGAAATTATAAAAATCTTTCACTATGTTTAACTGTGTTTTAAAATGTGTTTATTTTAATATTGCTGTTTATTGCTTACATAACTGTGTTTTCTTGGGTCAACTAATGCATTTTTCTAAAGGGAAAATTGGGTGTTTGAGGTTGGAAGAAAAAGGATAATGATTTTCCCATTAAAATTCATGGAGTTTTAAACTCTTAGTTGCCTCTGAACAGCGGGATTGTCAGAGGCCAAAGAAAACCCTTCATGAAGATAGTTCTACATTTATGTTAGTCTGAGTGATTGAAATGGGTTATGCAGGAACCTCTTCAATGCGTCCTTCCCATCCTTGTTCCTTAGGCTGTAAATGATGGGATTGAGCATTGGTATCACGAGAGTATAGAAGACTGAGGCCATTTTATCAGTATCTAGTGAGTGGTTGGTCCTTGGCTGCAAATACATGAAGAGAAGAGTCCCATAGAACACAGTGACAGCCATCAAGTGAGAAGCACAGGTGGAAAAGGCTTTGTGTCGCCCCTCAGAGGAACGGATCCTCAAGATGGCAAGGATGATGTTAAAGTAGGATATCAGAACAATGATCATAGAGAAAAACAAATTGATTACTGAAAAGGTAAACACAACAGTTTCTGGAACATAGGTATCAGAACATGACAATGCTAATAAAGGAATAATATCACAGTAAAAATGGTTGATCACATTGGAAGAGCAGTAGGACACAGAGAACACACAAGAAGAGACAGTCAGTGCTGTGGTCAGGCTGCAGAAGTGTATAAGGAACACCAGCAGAAGGCAGACCTGTGGAGACACCACCACCATGTAATGCAGGGGGTTGCACACGGCCACATAGCGGTCATAGGCCATTGCAGCAAGTGTGAAAATCTCAGCCACAACAAAAAGTATGAATTCACCCAGTTGCACTGCACACCCATAGTAGGAGATGGTTTTCTTGGAAACCAAGAAGTTAACCAGCATTTTAGGGGCAATGACAGTAGAGTTGCCAAGATTGACCACGGCCAAGTGCCGGAGGAAAAAGTACATGGGGGTCTGAAGTCGAGAGTCGACACTGGTGAGGGTGATGATGCCCAGGTTCCATGCCACGGTCAGCCCATAGATGACCAGGAAAACAAAGAAGAGTGGGATCTGGAGCTCTGGGCTGTCTGAAATGCCCATGAGAATGAACTCGGTCACCTGCGAGAGATTCCCTGGTGCCATTGATGTTGTTGCTTTCATCAGTGAATGGGGACAATGAAGAGATGAACAGACAATAAGGTGCTGTCTCTGTTTGATGCCAGCTTGTTAAAAGGTTCATTTAAAATCAGTTTATTTCTTTATTTTTTTGTTGTCTGTCATTGGCTTTTATGTGTTTTTATAAAATTTGTATTAAATTGATTGGGGTGACATTGGTTAATAAAGTTATATATGTTTCAAGTATATGAATCTGTCATATGCCATCTGTGTATTTATCAGCTTTTTTGTTCACATCTTGTTTTCTCTGAATCTTTTCACAAAATCCTAAAACAGGAACTCTCCAGAGACCAATTTCAGACTCTTAGAACTGTCTGAGTAAGGCACTGGTTTATTATTCACTGCTGGCTAGCGTTTGTATTGTGTGAATGCACACTGTTTCATTATATGTATTAATATTGATATGCATATATGAATTATATTAATATTTGTGATTTCTTGAATATATACATTCCTATGTGTATTCACTTATGCACACATGCCTCTGAGTGTGTGTATGTTTATGTTTCCAAAGATAAAACACAGTTACCTATAAGAACCAGGGGAGCCAGAGTGACTTCCAGGTATTTTTCCTTAGCTGCCACAGACCTCCTCTCCACCCCATATCTCATCAACATCATCCTTGGAAATTTCAGTATTTCTGTGTGAACCTGGTAGTATCCTGGGGTTTAACTCACCAATTTCCGCTGCACTGCTCTGCTTAAGCTGCCCACAGACAGACTACACCTCAGTACTGCTTCTGCTCAGTGTCAGTCAGAAACTGTGTGCTCTTCACTGAATCCCACTTCCTTTCTTTTACCAAATAATCCAGTCCTGTCCTATCACTCAGACTCTGGCCGTTCAGACTTTTCTCTGCTCTTTGGTTCTGGTAGCCATTCCATTCCTTTTCATCTTATACTTCTTTTCTTTAAACAGCTTAAAGCATGTTTTGATTTTTTTGGTTATTACAGTTTTGATTTGTTAAAGCTTGATCAGTGTGCTTTAGTTGGATAGAGAAGTGAATGCGTGAGAGCACTGGAATTATTTAGTGTGCACCTACTCTGTGCCCAGAGTGGTGCTAGGCGTTCTGAAACACTGATCTCATTACTCTGCAGGAGAGTCCTAGAGAACAGACGTCATTATTTCTATGTCTAATGGAAATATTACTGAAGTGTAATGGGATTAGGTTAAACAAAGAGTCTGAGTATAAGATGTTGGTTAATGGTAGGGTTTTACAGTTTACCTTTAATGTGTTTTGTTTGCTTGTTTGGTTGGTGAGTTGGCTTGTTGCCTGTTGTGTCTGTAATTGTTAGCTGTGTGATTTTTTCCAAGTGTTTCTATTCTTGTACTATGTGAATTACATGAAATAGTGCACATACATAGGTTAGGTAGCACAGCTCCCAATAACAATACATGCACATTAATTGTTACCAGTAGTTAATGTTATTAACATGTTTTGAATGATTTTTCAAATGTGGTTTCTTATTTCAGCCCTGGAAACTCATTCTACCTTACTGAGGGCTTTTATAATTGACATAGAAATAGCAAGTGAATTATAATTTTGCATATTCAAGAAACTGGATCACAAGATACCCAGCTATGTATTGAACACACAAAAAATCAGGCTGTGCTCTCCCACAATCTCATTCTTTTGAAACTCTGGTGTTTATTTGTTTTAAAGATGCTTACTCCCATCCATCAGCTATGAGTCTAATGTGCTAATCTGATGCTGTTGCACCAGCAGTCCCATATCTTGACTCCTACTACTGCATTCAAGAAGAATTGCATGGGTAAGTTTTGGTGGAAAACACTGTGGCAACACTCCCTCATCAAAACACTTCATCTGTGCCCTGGCTGGTGTGGCTCAGTGGACTGAACACTGGTCTGTGAACTCAAAGGTCACCAATTAGATTCCCAGTGAGGACACCTGTCTGGCTTGCTGGCCAGATCCCCAGTTAGGGGTGTGTGAGAGGTAACCAACTGATTGTACATTGATGCTTCTCTCCTTTTCCTTCTTCCTCCTTTAACCTCTCTCTAAAAAAAAATAACATCTTAAAAAAAATTCTTTCTTTGCTACAAATCAAGGAACTCAGTACATATTTTACTTTGAGATAATATATTTACTATACTTACTCTTAATTTTACAAACCCCCCAAAAAGAGCATAGCCAAGAGCAATGATTGATTATCTATTATGAATTTGTGCAATTAACTTTTGAAATGAAGAATATATGTGTATATCTTACCCGTTATGTGTTTCCTCTTCTACTGCAATATAACTGAAGGCAAAGCTATACAGTGTTGTTCCTTATTTTGGTAACTATTTGTCATTGAAATAAAGTTTCTCTGAAACAGCTTCAGTTTTCTCTTATTTCTTCAGAATCTTGTTTGATACACCAGTGTTCCTGAAAAAGGAAATTTTACTTCTTTACAAATATTTTTTTTTCTAATTTGTTTTTAATATGAACATCTTATAGGTCTACCAAGACAATACATTCTCGGCAAATAAAATATTTAAAAGTGTACCTAATTTTATTAACTTTATCTTCTAATTATAATAAAGAATAGTGCCAATTTATTTCTAAACAGCTTCTGATATGATTTTAAAACTATGCACTGTGATTTGAGCTCTCCATATTCACCAGCAATACAGAGACTGTGATCAGTGAATCTTTCCATCCTAAGGTTTATTGCCCTGGGCAATGCAAAATGCAGGAAAGGGAGCCAAACTGGTTTTTATTAATGGTAAGTAAGTGGGTTAGTCTTCCTTGAAGACGTATTGTAAAGACAGTTGCTATTATCGTGGGCCCTCTAACACATCCATCAATTCTGCCAGTTCTATGGTAAAAAAAAGTTTCTTATTATATTAAGGTGAAACATACTCTCTGTAACGACTATTCATCATTCTGTATAAATGCTCACTCAGTCTAATTTATCAGTAGGTATGCTGGACACTATTTCACAAGTCTATTACCATCACTTCCACTTGGCAATCAGTGGGCAGAGATGAGATGAGAGAACAGAACACGGATCATTTCAGTCCTGTGTCTGATTTGAATTAGCAAATTTCCAAGATGCTTGCTCCACACATCCAGAATTAGTAATAAGAAAAGGATTCAGCTTTATCCTACCAATTTACAGAGATCTGCTGAGACTCCCTTTAAAGGTTGTTTCAGGAAGCGTGCTAACAGGTTTTACACGCATCTGAAGTCCCTGCAGATCTTCACACTGAAGTATGTTTGTATATGGTCCCAATCCCCAAACATGAGAACCAGAATTCCCAGATAAAGTCCTGATTCCCCTTGGAAGGGAAGACAGGTAGAATGCTCATTAAACAGGTCTCTATGCAAAACTTTCACCCAAAGAATAAAAAATGTGGAGATAGCCCAGGGACATAGATAATCATATTGAATGATAATCACATGTAATGATTCCACCCTCTGTTTTGAATTGCGCCCCTATCTTTGGGAAGTGTTGCTGGTCATTGGTATGGGAAAAAATCCAGCAGTTAGAAAATACAGGATTCTGGCCCCAAAGTCCAATTATAATGTAAATGTTTGGGAGTTGACTAAATGCAAAGCCTTTGTTCTTGTGTCTAAGACAAGCCCTGGTGTATTTGCCATAAATATCACATGGTATATGACATAAATTAAAAATATGAATGGTTATAAGACTGAATTTAATGTTTTATTGAAATTAATAAGGCATCCAACAGGAACCTGATCCTATTTCTAGTTTTTGATTAAATTATTTAAAATGGAAGTGTTTTCATATAATCCAGAGATCATTCCTCAAGCATATGTAAATATTGTAATTAAATATTATAATATTTTTATGTTCTTGTTGTGTATAATATCCTAGCCCATACGTCTAAATAGTTTGCCTTTGTATTAACAGTTGCCAAAATAACACTGAGAAAAAAGTGTATGTTCCACAGATATTTCAAAAGACTGACTAATGAAATGGTGAATAAGTGAATGAATAAATATAACAGCTATCTAAAAACTGTGAAATAAAAACTGATTTTTTTCATTTTCAGAGCCATAATCTACTTTTAATATAATTTTAACTTTGGTAAAGAAGCAGTGATAACATGCATATCATTCTCTAGAATATTCTGTTCTTTAGGACAGAACACAATTGATCCTTCTTCATGCTGGTATATTTAAGAACATCATGGCACATTCAAAGCTTTAGAATTAATAAAGGAAGAGACAAGTTGTGAACAATAAAGAGGAAATTATGAAGATTTTTACCAACTTCAAGTTATTATCATAATAAATTTAAACTGGGGTTCTTTCCAGCCTCTGATAGCCCCATGAAGGCTGTATGGTGGCTTCCTCTCCAATGTCCTTTGGATATTGCCTTTCGTGGGACCACAGGCACAGTCTGTACTCTTCTCAGTTAACACGACTTTCATTCCTCATCAGCTCTGCCAGCCTCCCATATATTTAGCATTCCTATAACATTGGAAAGATTTTTTCAAGACTATTTCTTTTATGCTTTCTGTTGCTACCGATGCTTCATTTTACAATTTGATATCTCATTTAAGTATTACTATTTATTTTCCATTTCCGAAGTCTTGATTAGGCTACTTGATAAATTTACCTTGGTCAAGCACACAAAACTCAAAGATAGTGCTACAATTGGATCACAAGATTCACCTTCAAAATATGTTTAAGAAAGAGACACATGTCTATACACGCACACATACACAGAAAAAGTAACCTTATAAATGTCATATATTTATCACCCACATTAAGCAATAGTTTTATAAGATTCATTATTTTTAAAGTGATGCACAACTACATATAAGCTACATTTCCATTGAACCAACCTCTCTCATTCCCATTCCCTCCTATCCATCTAGAGGCAACAGCTATTAACAATTTCAACCTTTTTCTGTTTCCAAATATTTTTATTTAGTGTTATTGTGGTATGAACACTTAACATGACATCTACCCTCTTAACAAATTTTTAAGTATCAAA